CTAAAAATACCTTAAATAAATGCTATTTAAAAAAAATAGGAGATTATTTAGGAAGTTTTTTTATCCAAAAATGTCATAAATAACCTTTAATATTTTTTTAAAATGAGATTATTTAAGACGTTTTTTTGTTAAAAAAAGCCTTAAATAATACTCTTTAAAATTTTAAATGATATTATTTAAAGTATTTTTGACTAAAAATACCTTAAATAATCTCATATATTTGTTTAAAAGAGATTATTTAAAGTATTTTTGTCAAAAATGCTTTAAATAATCTTTAATATTTTTTTAAATGGATTATTTAAGATATTTTTGATAAAAAATACTTTAAATAATCTTTAATATTTTTTTAAAGATGATTATTTAAGGCATTTTTGATTAAAAACTTCTTAAATAATATCATGTAATTTTTTAAAATGTATTATTAATGTATTTTTTTTATTAAAAATACCTTAAATGATCTCTAATATTTTTTAAAAGAGGATTATTTAATGTATTTTTGTAAAAAATGCTTTAAATAATAACCTTCACTTTTTTGGATTGCATTATTTAAGGTTTTTTTTAATTAAAAATACCTTAAATAATTCATTTAATTACTTATAAGATTTAAGATATAAAATATAAAAAAATCAGAGTAGTTTAGTCAGCTAGAGTATATAGTTATTAACTATAAGATTGTAGGTTCAATTTCTTCTTTTAACATTTTAATTTTTTTAAAAGAATTATTTAAGATGTTTTTATTTAAGACGTTTTTAATCACAAACATCTTAAATAATATTATTCAAAATTTTGAACCATATTTTTTAAGGCATTGTTGACTAAATACACCTTAAACACTCTATTTTATTACTTATAAGATTTAATAGATAAGATATTAAAAAAATTAGAGTAACTCAATTAGTTAAATCTATAATTAATAGCAATGACCTATAATTAATTTGTAGTCACTTCCAAATATATTTTTCAAAATAGTAATGATTATTTTATAATTTTTTATTTAGATCAAATTTAAAAATAACGTAATTTTTTTCATCAGAATCATAGAATATCACAAGGAGATATGAGTTTTTTATTCTGAAACTTTAAGTACTATTAAAATTTTATCACTTTCTCTTGGAATCATATTGCTTTAAATCAAGTGTTAGAATCAAATATCTAATAGTAAGATTTTGAAAGAAAATGCATGGATTTCTTTGAACCAAATGTCTTTAGTATAATTAGATTAAAAAATAAAAATTAAGTTTTTTAAAAAAATTATCAATTGAGTTCAAATAAAAACTATTAAATATTTTTAAAAATACATGCACCACCAAAAAAAATTAGGAAAAAAACAAAAGAAAAACTGCATCACACTAAAAATATAATAAAGGTGGATCGTATATTAAAAAATTAATCATTTAAAAATTAAAAAACTTAAAAAAAACACAAAATAAAAAAGTAAATCCGACAACAAATAATAGACATCATTAAAATAAAAAATTAAAAACATAAAAAATTAAAAAATTGAAACAAAAAAAAAGTACAACTCAACAAAAACAAAAATTATGGATCCCACTTTAAAAATAAAATTTTTATAATGAAATATAAAGAAAATAAAATTTAAAAAATCTATAAAAATGTAAAACTAAAAAACCCTAAACAAATAAAAGTGGACCTCATAAAATTTAGTGGATCCCATTGAAATAACAAAATAAATTTAAAAAACTAAAAAGACAAATTGAGAAAAAAAGGGTGGGATCCACCATAAGAAAAAGGCCAAAGACAGAAAAAAAATCATTTTATAAAAACCTTAAAGTCCTAAAAACCAAAAAACCTTTCAAAGAGTCGTGAAATGGAAAAAAATTCTCCATACCCTAAAAAATCAATAAATTTCAATCTACAGCTTTTTTACATTATATAATATAATATAAAAAGTTAATATTAATCTATAAAATTATGATAAAATAAAATGTATATAAAAATTAAATTAAAATAATTTATTTATTAATTAAAATTATTTTTTAAAATTTATATAATTTAAATTAATAATATAATTTTTAAAATACAATAAAACATGTTAAAATTTATAAATTAAAAATAAGTTTTTATTTTAAAAAATTAAATTTTTTATATAAGATATTAATTTTTTATAATTTTATATTTTTAAATATAAATTAAATATAATATAAAATAAATATTATTTTATTTTATTTTATTTATTATCTTACACGACAAATATGATCAGATAAAAATATATAATTGAGTCCGTTTTTATCATGACATTGGGCCACACTTTCTTTGAAGTTTACCCAAATCCGATTCCTTGGAATGACAGGCGGGTCCACGAAATACAATTTCTTGTCTCCAGTACCAATTAAGAAAAAGAAAGAACCACTTTAGAATAGGGCATGATGTTGACCAATAGTTTGACTTGGGTTAGAGCTTGAAATGCCTTAAAGCTTAATAGTCTCAGCTGCACCTACCGCCGGAGAGCTGAGTAAAGGTTTTGCAATTGCAGGTATGCCTCAAGCTTCTTTTTTTCAATGTCCGCTGCATGGCTCATGAATTGAATGGAAATTTAATCTCTTTCCCTTCACTTGTTTAGACTTTAGAGCTCAGTTGTTTCTTTAATCTCATCTCTTTGACTATTCAACATTGAACTTTCCTTTCTTTTTTTTTTCTTTGATAGTTGAGTTCTTGTTTCAACACCCAAAGAAGCAGGAAAAGCTGCTGGAGAGAGCACAAGCTAGGAAGCATGCACCCTGAAACAGCAGCTAATTAGCAAAAGTAGACGGGTTGATGCCCAGTTTCTAAAAGGTACAATGGCTTCGGCTAAACTAGACATATTAGAAATACAACTGATGCTAGCTCTAATACCTAGTACAATTTGTTGTTATAGCTTTCTCTTTCCTTGAATGCTTCCTGGAATTGCCTTTCTTTCCATAATAGATGTGTAATCTGTGCAAGCATGCCTTAGAAGTATAGAATCAAATGATTTTCCTTCCAAATTATGGATTTGCCGACGAGAGTTCCTCTGACCATCCTCCTAAAGCTCTTTGAACAGCAGTTATTTGTAAGACTTTCTTCCAAACCAAGTTAGAATAGGTGCAAGAAAAGAAAAGGTAATCCCTTCATTCTTCATGTTTCATAACATAGGAATCAAGTGTAGACCGTGTAGCCACCCATCCGTGTTTGGAATCAACTGTTATTATTATTATTTTTTTCTTAATTTGTGCTGATAAACAAGGAAATCAAATTTGTATAATCAAAGGGATTTCAATTTAGAATCGAATCACATCAGACAAATTTGCATAAACCTAAACCTAAACCTAAATCACGTTGGACAGAATCCAATCTTAGGATTCAAGCTTGTATTGATTCTGTTTAAGACCTAAAATCTCACTAAGAATTAGCTATAAATTGAGTGTAAAATCTCAAAGCAGGAAGTAGAGTTTTCTGGAGAATATTTCTGGGCTTAAGAGTTTCTGATGATTGAAACTAGTTTAAGTTGCAATTTTCATTTTTAAGCTTTTTCTTATTTTAGTTATTTATTTATTTTATTAATTACTATTGTCATCATTATTATTTTATTAATTTTAACTTGAGCAATTTATTACTCTTTAAATACTTTCGTAAAATTATTCTTTATTATTTTATTTTTGGAAAACAACTTTAAAAAAAAAAAAGCTCTTTTCAAATAAATTGATGAATCCTATCAAATTATTGGAGGATTGCATTTTAAGTTGAATCTTATCGAACTATTAAAAATTTTAATGAATTTTTTCAAAAATAGAATCTTATAAATATTTTACAATAAAATTTCACCAAACTATTGGGAGATCTGCATTAAAGTAAATTTTACAAAAATTTTAAAAGATTTTACTAACTATTTTTTTGAATAAAAATATATTAATGAACCTAACAACAGAGTTTTTTCAAAGTGGGACACTAGTTTCCATGAATACTTTTGAGGTGAGAGAATTATCTTAAATTGCTATCAAACTATTGGAGTAATTTTAAGATCAATTTTCAATAGTAAATATTTTGATAAATTATAAACATATTTAAGGCTTTGATAATTTGAAATTAAACTGGTACCATCTTTTGATGGGCGTTGTGAGGGTGCTATAACCTTTCTCATGCGTAACCACACTCCTGAATCTGAAATCTGGTTTCGTGGACTAAAATCTACTATTTAAAGATACTTAAGTTAATCTTGTGACTCCTCTTTAAATAGGACAGATTCGATCAGATGGTCAATCACTTAAACAAAAAAGATTGGTAGCTACTCCTTAAATCTATATCTAGCGATAAATTCACAGATCTATACGTCATGAGAGACTGAATTGAAATACTCCAAGCTTTAATCCTGGAAAGTGTGCTATGTGATATGTCTGTCCAATTCAGCTTACCAAGCAATCATAGAAATTTTGGCACATGCTTAGGCGTACACCATACTAATTCATGCGAAGAGACATTATGTAGTTAGTTTGTCCCTAGCCAATTCAAAGTGCCTGCACATTTATATTTTCCAAATTTAGAAGCCAGCCAAATGGCATCACCTGCTCTAGAGAATTGAATCACTTTCTCAGCAGTAAATTAAGAACAATTACTCAAAAAGAAATATCTACAGATGTTCATGAATAATTCTCCTTATTCTTTTTCCTTTTTAGATAGCAGCTATTTGAAAGATGGTTTAGTTTGTTTTGTCCGTATATAGAAGAAGTTCAATCATTCCTTATACACTTGGGAAGATAATATATGTTTTATTAAAAATACATTTACTCTTGTTGTTAGTTTGAAAAGCACTTTCGTATCCCTCTAAAAAGTATGGATATTAAAATTCTTTTGGTGAAACTAGTGTTTAATCAAAATACAAAAAACACCCTCATTTATTTTATTGCTTGCTTCTTCTTTTTTTTTTTTTCCTCATTTTTTCATTCTATTTTTGTTTTGTTTCAGTCGATTTTTCTATCACCCAAACTTTCAATATAGTTTGCTAATTCCAAGATTCAATTAGCAGGATGGAAACAGCAGCTGTGCAAACAGCTGGCAATGCAATTGGACCTGCTGTAGCAGCTGGGAAGTGTATATGCAACTGGTTGAAACGCGAATATAGTTATGTAAAACATATCAGCCTTAATTTCGAGAAACTTGAGGAGGAGAATAGCCGTCTAAGTGATAAAGTGGCAGATGTTCTGAACGAGCTGCATTGTAATGAATCACGGAAGGAAAGCACAGTGGAATGCAGAGGTTGGCTCCGACGGGTAAAAAACATGCAAACTGAGATTGAAAGACTGAAAAGTGAATATGCAAAAATACCTCACACTTGCTTATGTGGACTATGGCAATGTCCTGCTTTGCTTAAGCGTGTGGTGAAGAGGACAGAAGATGCAGCTTCTCTGAAGGCTGAATGGGGCCAAATCACCACCATGTGTGACAAGGCACCAACAGTATGGAATGATGATGGCTGGACATTTTACCATCCACCGCTTAGAAATCATATGGATATGCTAATAGATTGGCTAAATGAAGAGGGATTTAAGAGAATTTGCATCAGGGGTCCTACGGGAGTAGGGAAAACAACAATAATGAAAATGGTGCGCAAGAAAATCCGTGAATCTGGTTGGTTCGACTATATCTTTAATGTGACCCAAAAAGATAAAAGCAGCATATTGAGAGACATACAAGAAGAAATTTTGAGCTGCTTAGGCAAGAAAATGGACAAAAATGACCCTCCTGTTCGACCTGAGGTGATATCTAAGACGCTAATGGGAAAGAAATATGTGTTGTTTCTTGATGAACTTTCCTCGGCGGTTAATTTTGAAGAAGTTGGGATCAATCATGAGCAAGGGAAGGTGGTGTTTGCATGCAGAGACAAATATGATGGTTGCACTGAGAAGGAGATGGACGTGCAGGTATTGTCCAAGGAGCATGCTAGAAAGCTGTTTTGGGAAGTAGTGGGTCCAGATCGAGATCTTGAGAAGAACACAGCAATCAAACAAATTGCAGAAAAAATTATCGATTTGTGTGATGGCATGCCACCTATACTCATATCAATAGGAAAACAACTGGCGGGGAAGAATGAAATTGCACTGTGGCGGGAAAAGAAGTCCCAATTGCAGTCACCAAGTAAGCAGAGGGGGAACAATATTACCGGTCATTGAGATTTGTCTATGACAAGCTTCCTGGTAATGATCATAAGCTTTGTTTACTGTATTGGGCTGTTTTTCCTTTCGGTGAAGAAATTAATCGAGATTATATAATTGATCGCTGGGCAGCAGAGCATTTTTTGGAATGCCAAAGGCTTTCGAAAGTACGTGACAGAGGGCATGCTATACTAGATTGGTTCACAGAAAATTTTCTACTGGAAAAGGGAGAAAAGTTGGGGCACCTCAAGATGTTTGTGGGTTTCCAAAGGGCGGCATTGAGGATTGCAAATGAGGAAGAAAGTCAAAGTTCTCTTGTTGAAAATGGTGAAACCATTGAATTTCACAAATGGATGCAAGCAAAAAGAGTCTCATTGGCTTGTACTCAGCTGTCCTCCACCCTGCCACCAAATCCCAAATGTTCCAGATTGTCAACATTGTTAATTCATGAAAATAGGTTGCCAGAAATTCCAAAGCAATTCTTTAAATATATGTCTGGCCTTCAAGTTCTGTGCTTAAGGGAAAAAGGAATCAGTGGACTTCCTTCATCCATCTCCCGATTAAGAAACCTCAAAGGGCTCTTTCTAGACAACTGTAGTTGTTTAGTAGTGCTTCCTCCTCAGATAGGTCATCTCCAGAGTCTTGAAATCCTTGATGTACGTCATACTGGGATCTATTATTTGCCGAGTGAGATTGGACAGTTGGGAAATCTCAAATGTTTGAAAGTTTCGTTCACAGTAGGAAACAATTTGACTGTTAATTCTGGCAACTGCTGTCAGAAAGGAAAAGATGAAAGGATAATTCGTAGAAAAATTATTAAAAAGCTTTCTAAACTAGAAGAGCTGAGTATTGAAGTGAGTCCTAATAGCAGAAGATGGGATGCCGATGCTGATGCAGTTGCGAAGGAAATCACCATGTTGAAAAAATTGACACATCTTCACTTCCACTTCCCTCAAATGGAGTCTCTTGACCATTTCATCCGGAATAGCGAATCATGGAAAGCAAATGGAGAAACTGGGGAATTTGAAGGCTTCAGATCTTTCAACATCTCTGTTGGTCAACAAGGAAATAGCTCGGCATCAGACTTTAATGCCTTTGAATGCTCAGCTGAAAAGCATCTGAAGTTTTTTGCCTTTTCAGCAGGAGTTGAATTTCCTGGGGCTGTTTCTGAGGTACTTAAACAGGCAACTTCATTCGAGCTGATTGGTCACGGGACTGCTGGCAGCTTAACGGATGGCCTTCCTGATGATACATTGGAAAAGCTGGAAGTTTGCATCATTGAGGGATGCGATGAGATGACGAGCATCATAAAAGGAAATACAAATACAACAGGAGGAGCATTCCGTTGCCTGAAAAAGCTACATATAAAAAAGCTCCGAAACTTGGTGAGTATCTGGAAGGGCACAATAGCATCTGAAAGCTTCAGTGCACTAACGACTCTGACATTAAAAGAATGCCAAGGTATAACGAAACTTTTCTCACTAGAGGTGGTCAGAAAGCTGTGTAAGCTACAAAATCTTCAAGTTGAGGACTGTGCAATGATTGAAAAGATTATTGAAGCTGAAAGTTCAGTCGAATCCACGGCCTTTCCCAGTCTGAAGAATTTCCAACTATGTAGCTTGACAAGCTTGTCTTCCATTTGTGATGTCCCATTAGAATGTCCCTCTTTGGAGAGAATACTTATCAAGACGTGTGAAGCACTAACAACTTTACCAAGTGTCCTACAAAAAGCTCCCAAACTGAGAGAAATTCAATGCGCTGAAGATTGGTGGCATCAACAGAAATGGCCAAAAAACGAAACTGGAGAGCAAGTCAGAACTTTTCACCTTCACTTCTGCTAAAACGAAAATCCTGAACAAGAAAATTTTCTGCGTACGGTTTTGACCTCTAAACCGATGTGGAAATTTTCTTGGACCATGCTTGTCCATTCCATGGCCAACGTCGTTGGATTTGGCAGAATAATATAAGCTGGTCAGCTCATGTTATTTTCCTTTTTTTTTTTTTTTTCTTTTTGGGTTTTCTGTCTGGTTTGCTCTTGGCGTCTTCTCCTGTTGAACGCTCAATAATAAAATTTTCCGTGTGTTTGTTCAAATCATATTACGTCATTGTAATAATTTTATCATGTTGTTTTCCCTTTCTTTTGTTTTTGTTTTTGTGTCTGATTTGCTCTTGGTGTGTAATACGGTTGAAGACTCAACAATAAAATTTATGTGTTTGTTTACATCTATGTTACGTCTTTGTAATAAGTTTATAAATATAATTAAATTTAGTGAGTTATTTGTATGGGTATGAGTCATATACTTTTATCAGTAGTTAATGGAACTCTACTTTCATATATACATCTAAAATGAATTTTAATTGTTGTAGGATTGCAAAGTTCTCTCTTATTCTGACTAAACTTATTTATATTTTAACTAGATTGCACATGAACTAAGCTCATTTCCACTTCTAAAATTCTCTTTCAAGCTTTGTTATAATTTATTAAAAAATAATAATAAAATGGAATGTCTAATCGTAGTTTTGGAATGGTAACTGAACCAATTCTCACCCTTTTAGCTAGGGCTTTAAGTACCATGTTTAATTCGGTCCAATTTGTCAGGTTTAGGTTATGAATAGACTACCAGCAACAGGATGTATATGAAACAAAAAGAGATTAAGACAATGGAAAATGATCCCAATGGCGGCAGGAGCAAAACTAGTTGAAATCAGTTTCATTCAAAATCCATTTCAAAAAGATTAAAGATTTATTTAAATTGTATGTAAATTACATATAGAAGGATTAAAAGTAAATTATTTGGTGAATTGAGAACATACATACAAAATGATTTACAAATTCGAGTAATACAAGGAAAATAAATATTACTGAACTTTAAATCTCACCATCATGGTTAAACACCACCTGCATGAGAAAGGGGAAAAATGGGTAAGAAACACTAGGTACTTGGAAAATTATACAGCTATAACTAGTAAAACAAATATGAAAAACAACTGAAAAGACAAGCCATAACATAAAATAACAGCAAGGAATACCTATAAACAGCCTAGCAAAAACCATAGAAAAGAAATTTCCAGTTAGACAGCATAAAAGACTATGCAGATTATGCAATGCCTGGTGGTCCAAATGGTTGAAGAGTTTAGTTCCTCTTAAGTAAGTTCTCAATTTCCAATCTTGTGAATAGAAAAAACAAACGCTGTAAAAGTTTACCTCTCTTATCCAATCCGGCTCGACTCTCGATTAATTGAAGCCCAAAGTGGCTACCGACCACCAAGAGGTAACAGACCAAAAAAAAAATAATTACTCACTAATAAACAAAAATACTTCATATATATGTGTGTTAACTTTTGATAATAAGTAGTAAAATTCATTACATTAAGTTCCTTGGTTTTCCAACTTTGAAGTTGCCTTATGACTGAGTAAACAATTTAAATCGTTTATGTTTAAAAATTAAGGAGCTAGACATAAAGAACTTCGTATAAGTCTTTCTGCTAGCTTTTTCCCTTCCAAGAAAAAGGAATGTTGATATGTTTTTGAGTTATACAAGCTCCAAAGGCAATTGTAATGCGGGTATTCCAGTAAAAGACCATAATTCAATTAACTAACTAAACTTGTTCATGTCATATGGATGAATATAAGACCAAAATATCAGAATTTCTACATAGTCAAATGCAATAGGTATATGAACATAGCACATCAGCTGTTACTTAAGAATGGTAAGATTAATTGTTGACAGGATACTAATCTAAAAACAATCCTTGCTGATTAATATATAATCGAGCCAACAGCTAATAAAACGGGTTGACCATTCAAACCAGCAAATTATTAAGTTACTAACGATTGATAAATGAAATCAAAACATGAGCTTTTCAGTTTGCATCCCCCCCCCTGCCTCCCAATGAAGGAAAGTTTGACTGCAGAGCTGAACAAAATTGGCAGATTTCAAATTTGAGGTCAAACAATGACAGTTCAGGGTTCAAAATGCTCTGATCTATTAAAATTCACAGTGGCCCCTAATTTCAACCAAGATATTTGCTATTCTGTTATAAAGATGGCACCAAAACAGATGGCAATCATATTTAAAAATCATTTTTATCAACATCAGCTGTTTCTAGCAAGAAGATTTAGTCTTTGGAAAACCTCCTATAACATATGTCTTTATGCCTTCCCATCAATAATGTCTGACTTTTCACTCTTCCAATTGAATAAATTCTATCAAAAATTTATTATTTTTCACTCTTCGATTCCATCGAAAAAAATAAAAGTATTATATTGAATCTCCGTCAATGGCATTAAAAAAAAAGAAGCAATTTACATTTTAAGCCATGTAATTCACCAATTTAAACATATTCATTCATATTTTCATGTTTTCCTAGGCATAATAGATCGAAGGGTTTAGCTAAATCAAAGATACTCTTAACCAAAAAAAAAAAAAAAGCTTCTTTCTTGGGGCTTTTTCTTACAAAAACTCTCACGTTTTATTTCAAATTTTCTAACCAAACAATAATCGCACAAAAAACACTTAATTAAGCAATAAAATAGTGGAAAACATAAAATTTATTTTTTAAAAAAGCTTGAGAAAGGTGTTTATCTTTCTTTTTTTTTTCGCCCAGTACCTGAAGTGGGGACGAGAGTGTCGCACAGTTCAAAGGATTCTACCAATTGCCCGCCAAAGACGAAGAAGGAATTCGTTTCTCAGCACTTTATTTTAGGGCTCGGTTGATTTTTCTTATAGCGTGTAGAAAATTTATCTTTGATGAACTTGGAACATTCACCGTAGAAAGATACGTATATACCGAATTTATGTTACCACCAGAACCAGAGGCGAAGCCCTACTTATGCCTTAGGGGCCAAACACTTAAGCAAAGGGGCAAAGGAGGCCGACATTATGCTTGGTGGGCCCAAATTCTGTACAATATTGGTATAAAAATTGTTTTTGGGGCCTGGCCCATGCCTGCCCTTAGATTCGACTCTAAACCACAATATAAATTTAACAAAAAAATATTAAATATGGTTTTACACCCTATAAATATATGTATGTATATTTATTATTATTATTTAGATTAAAATAATGTGCAAGACTTAAATCGATTTTATTAGGCGAATTTTATGTTTTTTTATGTTGATTAAACCCATTACTTTTCATTGATTATAAATATACTCCCACAGGTAGGAAATAAGTTTTTTAATACAGTGACATAAGTGAGTTTTTTATTTATTTTAAGTATTTATATATATTAGTATTTATGAGCAACATAATAAATTATTATGAGATATGTGATTTATTATTGATTATTTTTACTTAATTTATTTTTATTTTTAAATTTGTTTACATTTATGTGAAATTTAATTGATTCTTGTAAATAAAAGCATAAACGCATTGCTCATATCTAAACTTAAATTTTAAATGGAATTTTATATAATATATATTCGTTAATGGTAGAATACTGAATTCTTATTTACAAGTTCAACAACTATTATTACCAAACAACAGGAGAGATGAGCAGCCAAATCCCAATGGTATGGTCTCAAAGAACTTGTGTTCATATTTGACAGTCATTAAATACTAAAATGAATATCAATTAGTTAATCATGAGAATTGAAAGAGACTCCTTCGCCATGATTGCTTCTTTGGAGCTGAAATTTGGGTAAAATGGTGGAACCAAGTGCTGGAGACTGTTCCATTTTTTTTTTTTTAACTTTAATACCACTTGTTGCAGGCATGTCACTGCTATTGCTGCCTCCAATTTTATTATATATTATTCTTCAGTCACGGAGGAAACCTCAACTCAGCATTCATTCACTTTCAGCTTCACCTGAAAAGCACCAGACACAAAAAAAAAATGTTACTGTTGCTTTGCAATGAAAAGGACAGCCGGGCACAGCACAAGGTGCTAGAATCAAATGGCAAACCATTTGTAGTCCCAAGTCAAAAGGAGGGTTGCGGCTGAAAGATGTCTCAACATGGAACCAGAACTATGTGATCATAATCAAGCATTTATGGTCTCTACTTGCACAAGCAAGATCAATTTGGATAGCATGGACACAGAACTATGTGATCAAAGGGAGAAGCACATGGGATGTGCCAATCCCTCAAAACAGTAGCTGACGTATGAGAAAAGTGCTACAAATGAGGAACATTGCTTCCAGGATTTTCATGTCAGCGCAGGGTTGCTTAAACCATCCTGCTGGAGATATATGGGAGGAATTAAGACATAAACAAGTGAAAGTTGATTGGCATAGGCTTGTCTCGTGTAAGCCACTTATACCTAAGCATGCAGTTATCGCATGGAAGGCCATTCTTAATAGGCTCCCTTTAAAGACAGGTTGAATGCAAGGGGTTTGCAACTGTTAGGTGCTGTGTATTGTGCAAACAAAATGATGAATGTAAGAATCACATTTTGTTTACGTGTAGCTATTCTAAGGTAGTCTGGAGGCAGGTCTTTACACTGTCAGTTGCGAAAGGAAGTTGAGGATTGACAGAGTGAATTTTAATAGGCAATTTGCTAGACTCCAAGGAAGGGCTCTACTATGTTATATTGAGACTGGCTTGAGGAGGTTACATCTATTTAATTTGGAACGAACGGAATAAAAGGAAATTCAAGTCAGAAGAAAGCAATAATAAACAGATCTGGAGACAGATTAAGGAGGTACACAAGCTAAGAGTAGCTGATTAAAGCATGTTGATTTGGATTACGTTAATAAAGAATTTGTGTGAGAGATAGGACCTATGCAGAGAGATAGTTGTAATGTAAATAAGTGATGTGATACAAATTTTACAAACTGTTTTACAGTAGCAGTGATTTGCTACTTCTTGGATAATAAAACTACAATTTATCCAAAAAATAAAGCACAAGCAGCTGTTCTTATAGTTGATCATATTTTTGCATTTCAGAAAAGAGGTGCATATCAGCAACAACCATGTCACCAATCCCATTTTTATGCCGTTTGAGAAGGATCCGCAGGCATATTGGGAAGGAAACTCTGAAGCGTCTCTTCTTTGCTTTCCTTACACTAGATTCTGCCATACGGACTGGTTCTAGATGAGGCCTTTTACATCACAGCAGCAGTATTATGTTCCTTTCAATGGCAGCAGCAGCAGTCTCTTCTATCATTGCTATATATCAAATGCTGATCCTTAGCAAGCTGGAAAAAATAAACTTGCTGAATCATCAACATAAAATTAGGGGAAAAAAATGCTTCAATATGGGTAATTAGACAAACATGCCAGCCTGGATTCATCGTATGTTTGGCAGAACAACCTCACAACTTGGAGAGTCTTAAGAACTATGTACATCACCCTCGCAAATAGGGGTGAAAATCTTTTCAAAAGGTGAGCGAATTCCATTTTCCTCCCACACTAATTCATCCCACCAATCCTTTTCAGCTCTAATTTTCTTTCAGAGTCTGTTTCAACTCCGAGTCTTTACAAATCTGCTTCAACTGAGGGCAATCGTACACACTAATGTATTCAAACAAGAGCCTAGTCTGAGCATCTTCCCAAATATGAACCAATTTAGGAAGATACTGAAGTGTTAAACTTTTGAGTGAAATACAACAAGATTCAGTGACCTCTTCCGCAGAAATGATCTTTTCGATTGCTTCACAGTCATCAACCAGCAACTTTTCTAAGTTGGAAATGAATTGCAGCATTGAGCTTTTGAAAACATAAGTCAACTTTGGGCATGCATACAAAGACAGAGCTCGTAAAGCTGAAAAGCTTCCTTTTGGGACAACACCCTTCCAAATGCTCGTCAAACTCCATGAATAATGAATACTTAAGTACTCCAGGCATGGAAAAACACTCTCAGTTCTCTCCTCACTGTCCACAATAGTTTCAAGGTCGGGACATTCACTTATTATACAATATTTCAACTTCTTAATGTTGCCAATCCCAAACTCAGACAGCCTGTGGACGTCAAGATGATGATCTAAATAAAAAGCAGTACATCGAGCTAACACATTAACAATTGCGTCAGGTATCCTCTCACTGTTGACAAATCTCAAGCATTGACCCGATATTAGACCATAATTCAGCTCTACGTACTGTGGGTCTCGTGATGCATTAAACTTGATGTCTGCGCCAACAACAAATTTGAACTCTGTAAAGCTTTCTTCCTTCCAGGATGCATTTTCTCCGTGGAACAGCTCAAGAAATGACCTCTGGGAAATAGAAGGAAAGAGAAGTCAACAATTTCAAGTTGATCACTTCCTTAACGAAGGATTCGACACTCTTATTCCACCAATTATCTCCTGGGTACACGCTTATGCTTAGTGTTTCCAATGCTTCAAGTCCGGAAATCAATCCAGGTGGTAGCTTAGCATGCTCGCTGCTGGTGCTAGATCCATAGAAGGATACTTCCAAGTGGCTTAGAGAGTCCAGCTCAGCAATCTCTTCAGGTAATTTAATGATCTCCGTGCCCCCAAGATCAAGTACTTGAAGAAGTTTAAGAGATCCAACTTCAGAGGGGAGCTTGACTAGGGGTTCGCAATCACGAAGAATAAGTGTTTCTAGTCTTTCAAGATTTGAAATTGACTTGGGCAAGCACTTGATTCTAGTCTTGGATAGGTTCAACAATTTAAGGAGAGGCATGTTGTGAAAGAAAAGATCTGGTAACACTCTCAGCTGATAGTTCCTTTGCAGAAACAATATGACAAGTTTAGGGCTACTTGGTTTGTCAGGCAGAGCGGACAACTTATCATTAATCAAAAACATAATCTTGGAGTTGATTGGTCACGTGACTGCTTGCAACTTAACTGATCACCTTCCTGATGATACAGTACAAATTCTGGAAGTTTGCATTATTGAGGAATGTGATGCGATGACGAGCATCGTAAATGGAAATACAAATACAACAGGAGTAGTATTCCCGCGCCTGGAAAAGCTACATATAAAAAAGCTCCCAAACTTGGTGAGTATCTGGGAGGGCACATTAGCATCTGAAAGCTTCGGTAAACTAACACCTCTGACAATAAAAGAATGTCAAGGTATAAGAGTAGTTTTCTCACTAGAGGTGGTCAAACAACTCTCTGAGTTACAAAATCTTCAAGTTGAGGACTGTAAAAGGATTGAAAAGATTATTGAAGCTGACAATACAGTTGAATCCACAGCCTTTCCCAGTTTGAAGAATTTCCAACTATGTAGCTTGACAAACTTGTCTTCCATTTGTGATGCGCCATTAGGGTGGCCCTCTTTGGAGAGAATACTGATCAAGACATGTGAAGGGCTAAAAAGTTTACCAAGTATCCTACAACGTGCTTCCAAACTGAGAAAAATTCAATGCGATGTAGATTGGTGGCATCAACAGCATTGGCCAAACAACGAAACTAAAGAGCATTTCAGAAGTTTTCGCCGTCACCTCAGCTAAAACGAAAATCCTGAACAAGAAACATTGCTGCATATGGTTATTGACCTCTAAACCTATGTGGAAATTTTCTTGGACCATCCTCTTACATTCCATGGCCAGTATCATTGGATTTGGCAGAATAATATAGGCTGGTCAGCTCATGTTATTTTCCTTTGTTTTTTTTTTTTGGTTTTCTGGCTGGTTTGCTCTTGGTGTCTTCTCCTGTTGAACACTCAACAATAAAATTTTCCGTGTGTTTGTTCAAATCATATTGCGTCATTGTAATAATTTTAGCATGTTATTTTCCTTTTTTTTTTTTTGGTTTTTGTGTCTGATTTGCTCTTGGTGTGTAATACGGTTGAAGACTCAACAATAAAAATTTATGTGCTTGTTTATATCCATGTTTTTATGTATGGGTATGCGCCACATATATTTTTATCAGCGATTAATGGAACTTTACTTTCATATATGCAATTGCCATAGAAGTCCACAACAGATTGGGTTCTAATTGCTTGGTTGAATTGTTGATGTAACGCTTTTACATGATTGAGTTTACAAATTTATTTTATTATTTCAGATTAAAATTAAAGTAAAAAAATTATGTAACTTATGAAACACCAAAAAAAATATAACACCCATAGTAATGTATCCTCTTAAGTTCTTCACATCTTGTCAGCAATTCCTTGACAATAGGCTGAAATTTCTTACAGCCAAGAAGGCAGAGGGAAAAATCCGTATCCTCTTAAGTTCTTCACTGCGATGTTTATCTCTGAATATATAGATAAATATGGAAGCTTAGGCAATGGGTAGCATATTGAGGATGTCACGTTATCTTTGGCTGATATTTAATGTTGGGATAAAGTTCACATGCGAGTAAAAATTTCATATCATTAAAAAATTTGAATGAGATATCTTATATATGCATGAAGGACCCAAGAACTTAATAGTTTAAGCTTTTGGACTAAAAAACTTAATAGCTTAAGTTTTTGAATTTAAATGGTGTCCAACATATATGTATAGGCTCTCTGATGTGTTCTCATGGGCTCAAGTCTAATTTATCTCTCCAACAAGTAGTATCAGAGTCAAAGGTTACGACGGATTCAATGGGTTTGAGTCGCAGTAGTATTACTGGGGTAGAGATTGTTGGCAAATCGGAAGTTGATCTCATCCATCAATTTCATGTATTTGAACATCGGCATTAAAGGTTCATTTATGTTCTCGAACGCCGATATTAAAGGTTCAACTTCAATTTGGATGCAGTGAGTATATGACATAAATGTAATAACCAAGTAAGTAACGTGTTGAGTCAACCTAAAGTAAAAACTTGAGGGAGGATTGAAACAACTTAGATGTAAGATTGAGTGCTCTAACTTGATCCAAAAGCACACTAAAGATGTGAGATTGCCTGGTTCAAATGAGGTGTCGATAGGACTTACTCGTATGGAAGAGTCGAGGTAAAACTTGATTAGAACTCACAAGTAAACGTAAGAGATTGTTGGGATAAAGTTCACATGTGAATAAAAAATTTCACATCATTAGAAAATTTGAATGAGATGTCTTATATATGTATGAAGAACTCAAAAACCTAATAGCTTAAACTTTTGAGATCAAATAATATCTAACATATATATATAGACTCTCTAATGTGTTCTCGTAGACTCCAAATCTGATTTATCTCTTAACATTTAAATCAGGCATTCCTGCTTTTCATTTATTTACTTTTGAAATGACTTTTTCAATTCATGTTTCTTTTATGCCAGGGCGAATTATGAGCAAAAGATCATCCAGTTCAAAACTGTTATTTTATGACTTGCATGGTAATGGTGCCAAAGTCTAAGTTATGGCTGATGCGAGGTACTAACTATTTTTTTATCATAGTACTTGCATGTTCTTATTTTTTTCTCCAAATTTCCCCTTTTTATGGGAAGTTTTATGAGAAATTCGAGGTAAAAACAATTTACTTATCCTTGATGTTAAGATTTTCTCTAAATTTTACAGTCATTGCAACAAAATGCTATATTTTTAGGTGCATCATCCAGCTAAATAATTTAGCATATTGTGAATATTTTATGTATTTTATTTCAATATACCACTCATTGCAACAAATAGCTACATTTTTAGGTGCATTGTCCAGCTTGAGCATGTGGTGAGTACTTTGTGTTTTATTACAATATATTGTTTGCTTTTGGATTTTGTTATGACCCCACTCAAGCGAAGGCCATTTTAAAACATAGTTGGTTTGCAATATGTTTTTGCAATCTATATTGTGTGAAGAAGATTTACACTGCTTTATGGTGATGTTTTAGATTTTACCATCTCATTTGTATGCATGGAACAACTATAAACTTTTTGACCTGAATAATTAATTTCACGTGATCATAACTCATTTGTCTACCCTATTTCTAAGCATTCACATATATTTAATCTACTGCAAATCTGTACGTATTTATCAGTAGTATGCATATGAATACACTAATTGCATATCATTGTGTTAAATTCATACAAGTTGAGTAGTTTGGAGACATTATTTTGCAATCCCATGAACTTATTCTAGTTGAGGTTAGTGATTGTGTAATATCCAAAAAAAAAAAAAAAGATTATTTTAAGTATTTTTATAAGTGGAGGAACTCTTTAATAAAGATTGAAAAATGTAGAGGACCTATTAATAAATAACCCGATTTTTATTAATAGGGTTAACTTATTCAGTTTTTAATCGACAATTAATGGAAAGAAAAATACAAACTTATTTCTCCTCTATCTTTTATATAAAAAAGATAAATTGAAGGATTCCAAGTGAAGGGAAAGAACAAATCTACAAAAAGGATTGTCTATCAGAGGTGAGTAAATAATCTCTTTCAATTTTGGAATATTAATTGTTAAATCTTGAAGTATAAATTACAATCGAGAAACCCTAAAATTTTAGGGTTTCCATTATCCCTTTTTGTCTAATGATTTAGGCTTTAATCAGAGTCAAATTAAGTGATTGAGAAAGTTAATAATGTGAATTTATTGTTGAAACAAAAAACTTGATGGGAATAGTAAAGAAAATTTTTATTTCGTATGAATCCTAATATAAACATTGTGTTTGCAGTAAGAGATTAAGGTTATATTCAATATTAAAGGATTAAATACTACTATGATTGTTATATATCGTTGGAAAGCATGTTGAATATACTTTCTAATGAAACAAACAAAAGTCGAATTTGAGTTTTCTATAAAGAATTGCCTAATTTTTACTTAAGGATGTGCAGGTTGCCTAGTAGCAACAGCAGCAGTGAGGAATTACGAAATTCTTCTTAATTTTTGTACAAGGAATTATGTATTGAGCCATACATGTTTGAAAAAGGTCATTGAGTCTACTGTCCAATGAAAGAAGTGGAATTGAATTTGGAGTTTTCCATGAATAAATGTGTAATTTTTATTAGAAGGTATACAAACTGTCTGACAGCAGCATATGACATGGATTGAAAAAATTGTCATAATTAATCCACAAGGAATCATGAGATGTGTTATATATGAATAGAAAGCTTATCAAGTCTAATTTCTAACGCATTAAAGAGATCTTAATTCCAATTTAGATATATTGAGATATGACTATTTTAATGAAAAGAGGTCAAGCTGCCAATATTAATTAGTTGAGTTAACCCTTGTGTAACTTAGTTGAATTTTGTATAAATGGTCTCAAGAATGGTTGATTAAATTCTAATGTGTTGAAATGATCTTGAATAGGTCATTAATTATTTTGGGGAAAAACCTAATTGATAGAATCAAAAAGAAGTAAGTAGAATCTCACACACTTTGCTTATTTTCGAATATATGTATATATGTATATTTCTAAATAAATGAATATTTTATTTCATAATTTTTTATATATGAAAATACGATCAAACATATGATTATTTTGTGTTTCTCTATATAAATGATGGATCATGCTTATGAATGAAATGAGAAAATGATTTATGTTTAAAGAATGATTTTGTGATGGCTAAGTTTTTACATCCCTGGAAAGTGGGATCATCGACACCAGAACTAGTTTTACGATCTTGACTAACGAGTTATAATAGTTAGCATAGATATGATCATATAGCCCTGCTAACGGTTTATAGTAGTTAGCGTAAGGCCCTGGCTAGCGGATTATAATAGTTAGCAATGATCATGAGGATGAAATTGTCGATATAGTTAATGTCATGGGTTATAGCAGTGACCATAGCTAATGATAAACGATTGATAATAATGATTTATGATC